TATAAGGGGTAGATTCATCCCTTTAAACCGTTTTTTTTAGCACCAACTGATAACTTCTAAATTCATTTATTTATGTGACCTCAAAGTGTACCAAGTTTCATTAAAATCAGAATTTAACACTTCGCGAGGTTCCCTTATTAGTTAATCAATTCCAGAATCTATCCAAGTTCCTATTATCTAGCTTGCACAGATCTTAAATACTGAAGATCCAAAAACTTTTCTCTTTAAAATACTGCAGTAATATTAATTTTTTCTGCCTAGCTGTCTCTGAGTCGCAACAGATTGCCGAGGCCGGTCTGCTAATCACGGAGTTTCTGCACTCAATCAACCAGAGCGGGGCGCTAGTCGATCATCTTCGCAGCAGTTGGACAGCATGGTTGCTGGAGCGAACCGCTAGCAGCCCGGTGCTGATGGGAGTATTGAGAGTGATTGGAATGGCAGTCGCTTCCTCATCCACTCTAGGTCACCTCATGGAGGCTGCCTTGGAGGCTTACTTCAAATACAATAGTAAGCGATTGACTATTCTCGTGTAACATTTCTATTTCATTATGTGAGCCAGATTTAATTTGTTTATTTGTATTTAATTTTACTTTTTTAGTGACGGAAGACGTTCGACCTACGTGGGCATCAGTGTTGATGGTTCTACAGTCTGTAGTACCACGCCAGCCGCCGTTAGAATCCGTGCTGGTGTCGGAGGGAAGATTGCTAGCCCTTTACTCCGTATTGCTGAAAAGACTTCCGTCTTGCAGAGATATCCGAGAGGAGGGCATGCTTCTGATTAACTTAGTGGACTGGATCAGTGCTATTAAAACCACGTGAGCGTTTCCGAAATATAAACAGAATGAATCCCTAGAAAGTTTTAACGTTATAATAATTTTCGTCTATTTAGAGATATCGTGGAGGAGAAACTGCCTTTGCTGTGGGCGAAAGCGTGCGAGTTGGCCTACAGACAGTGTCAGTACAGTGAGAACACAGTGATCGCTGCCAGAGCGTTGAAGGGACTAGCACGAGCACTACTGACAGTAGCGGACGATGCAGGACAGGGATGGGGTATCCTGGGGGCTATTGGATTAAGAAAAGGCTCTCAACTCACCGTACGGTAAGTTGTACGACGATATAAGTTGTACGACTGTCGAAAAGTGGACGTGTATTTTCTTCGCACGCACGCACGCATGCACACACTTTACATTCTTGAAATTGTTTATTCGATTTTCAGATGCAAATTCCTGAGCCGCGCTACAGCAGTCTACTGCCTGGCACAATTACCGGAATCGAAATCCGATCAGCAGTTAGTGAGGTACACACCGCACTCGCCCGGTGTGGCACCCTCAAGATCGACCGATCCAGACACGATGGAGATTCGTCCTAGCGCAGAGGCTGTGAAAGCAATGCAGAGTTTGGAAGGACTTCTGGTAAACAAGCAGTACGCGGAGCTGCGGGGAGATGTGGAAAGAGCCATTAGATTCATCAGGGACTCTGCCAACTCTCTTCACAACGCTGTTGAAATCCTCGGCATACTCACCATGGAGCTCTATAATCAAAGATACCTGCATGTGCTGACAGAGTGATACTAGTAATATTTAGATTTAATGACGAGCTGGCGAACGCCTCGAATCGTTTCAAAGCGTGATATGTGACCTCGTAAGATTCTCGATCGAAAGTCGAGTTTTGAGTCGCCCTATTACGTTTTTTCAAAATTTTCAAGCATTTCTAATTCTTTACGATTTACTTTAGTGACTTCAGGAAAAAGGTTTTCGAAATTCTTATAAGGATAAATCCTTATAAGAGATCCTCCCTAAAAGATTTTACAATTGAATTGCTTGAAAGTTTGTTGGGATTAAATCCCTATAATTACGTAAATTTTACCAAATAACGCGTTTAAATTGAATGCTATAACTCGTATCAATTTTGGAGATTGAGACTACATTATGATTATTTATTGATATTTAATCGATAATCGAACTGATCTCGCCAGAAGTACAATCGTGATGCAGACTCAATCTTAAATTTAATGATAAGTCGTGTTTGTTTTGCATTGTTTTACATTTTTTTTTAGATCTGTACCGATCTAGTCACAAAGCTCTTTCTTTAATTTGAGACATTGTAAAATCTAGAATGCATTCAATTTAAACGATCGCAGTCACATAAATAAGTAATAATTATGTCGATAATATATAATTAAAATAATATTTAAGAATGCAATTGTTGTTTACACTTATTGTTAGTATAAAATTTATTATGCACTCGATTACGCATCATAGATGCTTTTGTACTTGCGTACATGAATTATGTGTTGAACCAGTGAAATATTTGATTTACATTTACATATCACACATGTTAGGATTCTGACAACGCAATTAACTTATGAACGCAATTATTCTAATTTCGTTCTTGACATCGTACAAAGAGTCGTTCAAGAGCAGTTATCATAAGAAATTGTTGACGAATGAATAAAGAGATTAAATAAATTCAAGTCAAATCGTCATATGAAAGTACCGGAATAAAAATAACACAAAACTATTAATTTTATATAGGATACTTTTAAATTGATATTACAAGATTTACAAATAATTTTTGTGATAATGATTTGCAGACAATTTACAATTATTTTGTTGAAAATTTTAAAATATCTTAAATGTTAAAGATCCATAATACCAAAATACTTTAATATTTTCATTGAGATTTTTCATTAAATTCTACTTATTGCTTACAACAGATAGTCCAAACATCATTTAGTTATTAAATTTTCATAATTCAGACTTCTAAGAGAACTAAAGAACACAATCTTTAATATTATCATCTCAACCTGACGGGGTCAGAACGAGCTACGTCCAAAAGCTTCATTAACCTTTTAACGGCGGGGTGGTCGATATATCGTCCACCTAGGGGACACATAATTTTTTATGTTTTTTCAGGGAAAATTTTATGCGTTGAATATGGGAAAAATAGTGTAAAAATTCCTGGAAGCATCCTTGACCTTGAAAATCGCTATTTCTTTTATTAAAAAAAAAAAATTAACCTTGAAATGGCGATTTTCAAGGTTAAGGATGCCACCAGGATTTTCTTCACTATTTTTCCCGTATTCAGCGCATCAAATTACGTAGAAAAATACTCTCAAACCTTCGAGCTAAAATTTTACATTGGATTAGCCCTTTGCGGGCGGGGCTGGTCTATATTTCGACCAGTAGTCAGGTGGGGGATTCCATATGAGAAATTCATTGAATTTATTTATAAATTTCACGTCTAAAAAGAAGTCGATTTTAACTCATTTTTCCCCGTCCTTAAAAGGTTAAGATTCACGAGTCTCTTCATTTCTTAAAATTCAATTTAAATTGCTATTACAAGATTTACAAACAATTTTTGGATAATTTACACACAATTTACAATAGTTTGTTGAAATTTTAAAATAATATCTCTTAAGTTTCACAGATCCATAATACCAAAACTCTTTAATATTATCTCATTAAGATAATAAGGTCTTATTGCTGTAGAGATAGTCCAAGCCGCATATTATCAAATCTTCATAATTTAGTGTCCATTTAAAGATACTATTCTTTTAAGAGAAGGATCTTCTTCCAAGTCCTTTGCCTCTTGTCAGAAACATAGTGACCCCTCATTGTATTTCTGTAGTGTGCGCTATTTACAATTTATACAGATATATAGGACAGTTTTAACGCCAATTCCAAACGGCTTAATTTAGAGGGATTTTCATAGCAAGATATACTCTCGATGAATTGCCGCTGTCTTTCCGAGAGGCAGCGATCGAATGAAAATTCGCTGTTTTTAGTCAGTTTAGTTTTTAGTAGAATTTGAACTCGAGTCTTTGGTACCGAAAGCAGACGCACAACTCTCTGCGCCACGATCGCTACAAGAGAAGAACAGTATCTTTAAAATTCATTAGATTATCCTTAATCTGACGAGAGGCAGAGAACGAAAGCTTCGTTAAAATACACAAATCTCTTTGTTCCTTAAAATCCCAGTTATCATAACTGTCATACTTTTAAAACGTTACGACGTGCATCTCGTAGCAGCTGCGAGGCCTCGCCAAGCGGATATTCAATCAGCTCGCACTCGAACTGATCGCCGAAAGCATTCCTGAAAATCGGCAACACGTCAGCGACGGTAACGTCCATGTCCAGCTCCTTAGAGACGCTGGTCACGCCCTTGCCCTCGATGCCGCAGGGCACGATGTGATCGAACCACCTGAGATCGGTGTTGCAGTTGAGCGCGAGGCCGTGGGTGGTGACGTAGCGGCTGCCGTGGATGCCGATGGCACAGATCTTGCGATCGCCGACCCACACTCCGGTGTCCGGCGAAGTTTCGGCCCTGATGCCGAGCTCGGCGCACACGCGGATCACCATGCGTTCCACTTCGTGCACGTACCACCTGACACTGGTGCGAAACTGCCTTAGATCGAGCACCGGATAGGCCACCAGCTGACCGGGCCCGTGAAAGGTGATCAGCCCGCCACGGTTTGTCCTCCAGAACTCCGCACCGAGACTCCTCAGCTGCCTCTCGTCTTCCACCGTATAACCCTTGTCCCGTATTCCCACCGTGTACACTGGTTCGTGCTCCAGGAGCACTAGCGTATTTGCCATTTCGCTCAAACGCTTGTGATGATGATCCGCCAAGGTCTTCTGCAATTGCAAACCGACGCCGTACGGTAGGCGACCGGCTAGCAAAACTTTTACCACTCGTGAACGCATCTTGACGACGTTAAATTCGACGTTCTTTAAAGCCAAGCGAGAATTTTCGTTAGATTGAAGGATTCAGCGAGCTCTCATTGTTTTGATTCTCTTTTTCTACAGCGGCGGCCTTTGCCTCAAGTGTCGTGTAAAGCAGAAGGGATACCTGCAAGATGAAAAAGTTGTTTTTATGAGATATTAGCGGTTCTTTGATGATTTTATGTATATACAATATTTTTAGCATCTCTTCAACATTTTTATACTTTAAGTTATAAATTAATCATGACCTGGATATTTCTATATTTTCGCAGTGACTATAATATTCTAATGTTTAATAGTTTTTCCGTTTTTTAAATATTACTTTTGATGCTTTTATCATGAATTTATTTTTAACATCAGTGTATCTTCAATCGATTGCACGTACATAAGCATCCGTGGCTGCGTAATTTTTCTGGGCGTTGCTGAGAGGTTGTACATGCCACTTGCTCATTCGCACTTCGGGATCCTTGTTGATTTTCTTCTTCAACTAGACGCATACAGATTTTGTCGCAATTTTAATTTTATCTTCGTCGAAATGCGAAATGTAAATAACATAAAGTAAAATATAAATACCAAGTAAGCAGTTAATCTTTCCAAACTCCAACGGCAAGATCGGTTCAAGACACGATTAGCGTAAGTCCCGCAGTCCAAACAATTATTCTCTACCACTTTCTGAGCAGGAAACTCTTTGAAATCCCTCCCTAGCTTCCATACATCGCTGCAAAATATCAAACGTGTGATTATTGATTACATTTTTTTTTTGTACGACGGAGAAGTGCTCGCGAAAGAGCAGATAACGCCAAATGAAATTTGTAAAGTAAATGAAACAATGGTGACTACAGAGTCATCCCTCATTTCGCTTACGAGAAATCACCGGAAAATTTTATCTTAAATATAGATTTTACGGGCATCTCGTTATCTAATGGAAAATTTTTCAAGAGTCCGCATATAAGTAAAAAAGATAACACGATATATTTAAATTTTAAATGAAGAAAATATATACACCAATATATACACTAGTGAGTTCCGATACTACGGACGGCAAGACGGAATTCACTGGCTCTCGATAAACTGAGCCGAATGTGATAACGTGTAATCCTTTGTTTAATGTCGATTAATCGCACTACGGAACTTGATGAGCATGAAAACAAGGACGCTCGCAATGTTGACTTTTATAAAAAAAAAGTTCTAGAGGTTCCGAAAATTCTCTGGATTAGTAACAATGGAAAATTTTAACGGAAAAATTTTAACGGTGCGTTTTAACGGAAACTTCAGATAATACGTTTATTCTTATGTCTGCATGAACTATTTTGGCTCTTCTAACATGTTGAAAAAAAAACAATTGATATGATTTTGCACAATTCAAACAAGAATTTTTTCTGGAGAAACAATTTATCTTATCTTACCTTATCTTTTAAACAAAACTATTCTCTCAAAAATAAAATAAAATAATTAAATAATTACTGACTTTTTAATATTGACACCAACGAGTTTGATTTTCGAGTGACACAGGAGTTCAACGAATGCTGCTGGGAGCTTCTTTAGCGAATAGACATACAAGAGATAACACACACTGTCCTCCAGACAAATTTGCACCAGCGCCGTTTTTCCACTGCCAGTTTGGAAGCTGAATGGCCACTCCAAATCGAAACCTATCGGCACAATTTCCTTCTCGTTGCGCGTCACTTCTTGTCTGAGAGAAAAATTAATAATTAGAATAATTAGAAATATACAGGGTGTCCAATACTCAATGGTAAAGCGCTTGTGAACAGGTAGACTGGGTTAAACTAAATCAAAAAGTCCTCTACCATTTTGTGATATTCGCAATAGTTAGCGAGATACTAATCATTAAAAAAAAAATTTACGCCAAATATAAAAAAGTATCGTATGTACATTACATCTTTCCTAAATTGGTCCTTTTTAGTCACTTTAAGTCTGTTTTATGAAACTTAAAATTATTTAGAAAAACAATGGCATTGAACTTTTGCTGCATATACTTTTGGATAGTTTAAACGTTTATTTTATTTAAAAAATTTTTGATTTGGAATAAAATATTTTTGTCTGATCAAATACTTGGCAACTCCTATGATCTCATATTTGTTTTCGGAAAACTTTTATTTGTTAAAAATAATATTTTTGGTTTAGGAAAGATGTAATGTACGATATTTTTTTATATACTTGGTGTACTTTTTTTTTTAATGATTAATATCTCAATAACTATTGTGAAGATTGCAAAATGGTAGAGGACTTTTCGATTCAGTTTAGCCAGCTGCTTGAAGTTGGCACCCCTAAGTGCGAATTTTGACAAAATCTATATGGCATTAGATTGTCCACTATTTGTCCATATTTGTCCAATAATAATAATTTTTTGTCCACTCTTGGAAAAAAATTATTGCTCTAATTTTTTATTTGTTTATAATTTTTTGTAGCAAGGTGGACAAAAACGATTATTGATGGACAAATGCGGGCAAATTGTGGACAATCGAATCCCATATGTAATTTAAAAAAAAACGCATTTAGGGGTGCTTACGTTAAAAAA